TTTCTTTCATAATTTCTTATATTTTAAAATATGATTTATTCCTGTGATAGTAAAGCATAATTTTCAGCATCATTACCCCATTCTTCAGTGTGATCCTTCAGAAATTATTATAATATGCTGATTTGCTGCTCAATAAACATTTCTTATTATCATCAACATTAAAAACAGTTTTGCTGCTTAATATTTTTGTGGAAACCATGATATGTCCCCCCCCCCAGTATTCTTTCATGAAAAGCAAGTTCAAAAGTTAAAATCTTTAGATTTACATTGTCTTTTCTGTCACTTTTGATCAATTTAATGCATCCTTGCTGAATAACAATATTAATATATTTAAATAAATGAATGAAATCAATCATACTGACCTCAAACCTTTAAATAGTATATTTTCACATCTGACATATCTTCTGATTTTTAATATTTTCATTATATTTGGTGTAATATGGGAGTGGCTAAGGGGTCATTAATCAGATGAATGAAGAAAACAGTGTGTCATCAATAACTGCCATTATACACCTTTAGGCATCTATTGCATGCACTTCAATTACCAGTTACAATCAGCAGACCAGATATAAGTGGGGGACAAATAATGGATCACAAATATAGGTCAGAACTAAAGAGCAGGATTAAGCTAGCCAGTGGGCATATACAGAATCCAGACTGGCCTGAAATAACCCAATAGTCTGATCATCACACACACAGACAACCATTTATTTGCAATACAGCGCAGACAGGAGCAGAGCAAAGAAAACACTTAAGCTTTTATTAAACTTAAAAAATACATATGCATCTTTTTGTAGGGTGGTTTGTGCTAGCAAATGCTTGCTTATATACTATTTCTCAGATAATACTATTTTTGTAACTAATGGACTGCGAGCATGTGATTCTCTGTGGCTTCTTTGTGAATCCACATTCACTTGGTACTTCCGTTTAACAACAGGAAGTTCACTGGATTGGTCAGTCAACATGATCCAACTAGGGAAGTGATGCTAACTTATAAATAATGTATGATTTGGGGCCCAGGGTTCACAAAAGACAGATTTTCTTGTGAAAGCCCAGACTAAGTGTTTTGGTCTGGGTCTAGGATAGTTGTTGCATTTTCTCTTTTAAAGGGGTCATATGATGCTATTTAAATTTTTCCTTTCTCTTTGGAGTGTTACAAGCTCTTGGTGCATAAAGAAGATCCGTAAAGTTGCAAAGACTAAAGTAAAATAATGTTATTTTTAGCAACATCATATGACCCCTTTAATAGATTTTAACTTGGGACCAAACCAGAGTGATAAAAGATACCAGAATAGTATTAATTTCATTCCATTCATTCTTTGTTTTTGTGCCAAGAGAAGAACTAATTAAAAGTAAAAAAAAAAAAAACAACTGCCACATAGTCTACTAATGTTACTGTGATAATACAGTGACAATTTTGCATTTTGGCACCCAAAAAAAAAAGCTTTAAAAAAGATCTGGACACAACATGTATAAACAAACAGCTGGTTCATAAACTAGATTGAAATACTGAGAGAAAAGTACAGACTAGTCAATCACAATACAGTGAGTATACAGTGAGAGGAAATGTGCAAAGCAATAAAAGCTACACCCAAAAAAGACGACAAGGGTAAAATAAACACACCCTGCCCTTTACTTATTTTTTTGTGTAATTTAGGCTGTCACTGTTTGACACTAAATTATTTGATATTGAAATTAAGTATAGGTAGCTAAATGATTAAAAAAAAAAAAAAAAACTATAAAAAAATATTTGAATAAAAAACAGCCGATTAGAAAAAGGAACAAATATCAAATCATATAATATTACGATAATAATAATAATAAAAATGTAAAAAAAATAATTTAAAAAAGCAGAGTCTAACTTAGACTTGTGCCGGTATTCGGTAATGTGATATATCACGGTAATGAATATGCACGATATTGTTATCGTATACTAACTATATAAAACTATATAAAATTGCAAAATAAATCTATCTATCAGTACTTTTTTACTTAAGTACATAAAAAATCGAGTACTTTTGTACTTTCACTCGAGTAAAATTGAAAAAGGAGTACTTTTACTTTTACTGGAGTAATATTTTATTATACATATCTGTACTTTTACTCAAGTACTTGATTTGTGTACTTCGTCCACCACTGGTTTTGAGACACAGTCTCTATATGCAGTTTTAGGCTTCTATTCTAAATAACGATTAAAATAAACTCTGGAGAAGTAATAAATACTACAGAACCCCCTTTTCAATTAATAGGCCTAATTCATTTAGTAACAAACCCTATTACACATAGGACTTTCAAGAAGATCGGCTATTATGAAACTATACAGTTGTTCCTCTAAAACTAGAGAAAGCGAGCATTTAATAGCAAGACATAACGCTGAAAAGTGTCATCAATTCTGCAATCAAAATATATGTAGGCCAGATGTAGCAGAACAAAACAAGAGCCTTTGTCAAAACAAAGGATTCTGCGCAGTGCCCTTCACAATGTGCACCAGTGCCCGGCAAATCATGCACATCTCTTGCACATCCGACTAGTGTACTGAAATATTGTTGTTCTTCATGGTTCCCTGCGATCAAGAGCAAATTTTACGATACTAAGATACCATGCGTTCGGGCAAACCGGTGGCCAGTGCTTGTGTCCTCTTTGTGCATACAGTCAAACTCACTATTACATTCAATACATAAATTAAGATATCCATGTAACGCACGCGTTAGGACGCACAGTGATAATGAAAAAAAAAACACATAAAGACAGGCGATGTTCGTGCTAATGTATTCATTCAATATGATCGAACTGGCTAGCCGTGTCCTGCGGTTACATTTACGGTATCCTGACCACACGATCAGATCAGACCATAGGAAAAGCGTGAATTCTTTACACCACAGCCTTGTGGGAAAATACGTTTAACACAAGCAAATGCATTAATACGCTAGCGTTATTCTAAATGCCTTATTGTTATGTGCAATTAATATAAAAATTATTCTTTATAAGAATGTTCACTCACCCTTGTTTTTCTTTTCGCTGTCAGTTTTATCTCAGGCTTCAATGCAGCAGCTAAACAGTTTTCGTAGCCCAGCCCAGTGTGTATCCCCACATATCCTATTTGCCTCAGTTGCTCAGCAGCAATATCGTTATTCCTAACAAATAGCGGCGACATACGGCAGCCTGGAATCAGGCAACTTTGCAGATCCAACACAGTCCGGTGGGCGTGTCCTCATTCATGACTGGTACTCAAAATAACAGGCATAAAATATTTTATAGATTATTTCTTTTATTGACTTGTTTATAGTGTAATTTGGACGCAAATGTTATGTTTACAATAATAAGCGTTTTTAAACAGCGCAACACTATTGTGAATACCGGAAATTTACGTCTTTTAGTTTTTACTCACCCTATACTCTTTGCCCTGACCTAGCCAATTTGATACCGTATAAACTACAAGTCCCTGTTGTCTTTGCGCGGTTTACGGAAGTGCACTTCTACCATGCAACCGTTGACGTCTCTTTGGTCGTCGTTCATTGAACATACTACAACACTCTCAGTAACACTGAGCCTGAGAAATTGTGCGGTATATTTACAAACCTTTTTGGTTTTATTTCGTGCTTAAAGCAATAATGAAACCGTCCTTGGACTCTGACGAGGAGGAGGAATTAGGAGCATTGCAGAAGACATTGAGAGGTGATGTTGTTTTTAAACAGAAAAGAAGATGCTGCGTTTCAACCCAGTGTTCACTCCACAAAACTTAACAGTTAAAGTGAGCCTCTGACAGACATTCATTGTGAACACTTACAATAAGATAATTTGTTCTTTTGTGAAATATTGTACTAAACCACAGAAAACAACACATTTAGCAAATATTTAAACGTGTTACTTGCTACATATGTGATGCACTATAAGAAACTCAAGTCAGGGTATCTTGATATTCTTATTTTGCATACTAAATTCAGTGTATTTGTATAATTTCGATGTTTCAGAGCGAGCCAACCGCAGTATCCAGCACCTGTCCAGCATGCTGGCCAGCCACAGCTCTGACTCTGAGTGTTCAGACCCAAAGCAGCAGCAGGAGAAACTCAGTCCTCTGCTGCAAAACCCTGCTATGCCAGTTCAACAGAGTGAAGCAGGTACAGATCATGCAGGAAGCATGTTATTCTGACAAATGATCATAATGCAGGATTGAGTTGCATCCTGATAATTGTAGTAGTGTATTAAAATTCAGTGCATGCAGAGATCTGGATGAGTAGCCTTGTTTGTGCAGTCATTTTTTTTTTCTAGTCAGTCAGCTGCGTTCCTTGCTTCAAAAGCAGTGCAAAGATGCAAATGTTCCATCACCTTCTCCTTCCAAGAGGAAATTAACGGGAAAGGTACTCTAGTTATTCTTGAAACTAATGAGCAAAATGAAACTAACTAGCTTTTCATTAACTTGCAGCCCCCATTTTGGGAAGCTCTGAATTAAGCAATTAATTCACGGCTTCTCAAAATGGGGGTTGCAATTTGATGAAAAGCTCATTTTATTTGATTAATTTTTTTATTTATCATAAAACTGTAATTTAAAATGAATAGGTATAAAATAAACAAAAACAAAAAAATACTTAAAAACATAAATTCATGCAAAATTGTATTTGTTTACTTTTATTTCATGTGACCATTAACTGACATCAGAGAACTGTGAACGTGAATATGTTTAAATTATATAAACTTAATTTATTTTATATATGAATATGTAATTTTAGTTTATATTCTGTATTCTAATTAAGATAAAATATTAACTTAAAAACAAAATATTTTACTTCAAAATTATTTGACTGGCAAAAAAAAATCCTTTGCTTAATTAACCACTTATGTGCATGTTGTCATTACACTCTTATTTTGTAGTTAACATGTTAATTAACTATACTTTATATTATATTAATTTATGGTCATATGTATATTAATTATAATGTGTGCTCATTAGTTTTACTGGTCTTATTTAAAGTTTTCACAATATCAATTGAAAGAAGATTAATTGTGTGGTCTAGCAGAGAATCACAGACGAGGGCAATAGCAGTTTGCCTGGTGTTCACGACTTGGTTCCCATCATCCACAATCAGTCTGAGTACATTCAGCACCTGGAGGCTGAGGTCAAGTTCTGCAAGGTCAGTCCTGTTAATTAACAAAAGATATTATCAGTGAATTTATTTTTCTGAGGCATTCTATGAGTTTGATAATGGGGGTTTCCCCAGATAAAGCGAGTAGTATTCAACTGGGAATTTTGTTGCAATTCGACTGTAGTTGTAATTGTTTCCTCTCTAAAGGATGAACTCCTTGGAATGAAACAGAGAGTGAGAGTGGTGATTGTGGAGAATGAGAAACTGCACGAGGAGCTGAAGGCAAAGGCAGTTGAAGAAACTCTTAAAGAATACACATTTGTAGACAGCACGGTACGTATCCCTGAGGCCTTTAGTTATGATGCTGATAGAAATAGCAAATGTGGGACTATAATGAAACATTTTATGAAGATATGAGTCATTTTATTGATAATTTTCAGTTAAACATTGAGCGCACACCAGAAAAGACTTCAAAGCAAAGACTTGACTCCATTAATCAAGCTGAGGACCACAAATGGAAGAAAGAAATGGTATTTGTGTTTAAACATTCATGTAGCTGTAAATGTGACATGAATAAATGGACTCAATATGCACTTAAATTGTAATTTCCATCCCTTTGTCTAAGGAGCAGCTGAAGTGTCTCTATCAAGCACAAACTGAGACCCTGGAGGCTCAAGTGGTCTCCCTGAAGTAAGTGGGCTTCAATCTAGGGCTGCCACTAACGACTATTTTTATTTCGATTAATCTATCGACTAATTTATCGATTAATCTAAACGATTAATTTCCCACAAAAAAAGTTGACTATTTTAAAGAACATTTTATTAAACTTGCAACTTTGCCATTCAGTAGTGTACCATAAAAAAGTATAAATGTAAACAAGCCATTGACGAAATGTAAAACTAAAAGAGTAAAAATGTAAACAAACCTAATAAAAATTAAATAAAAAAAACATAATTACAAAAGTCTGAGAAAGTCAGCATGTTTTTAATGTCAATATATCCACATGTTCTGGCCTTCTGTTCATTACAGCTGTGAGTGCAACTACAAATGGAAAAAAAATATGTTTCAATTAACCCCAACAGTTGGGTTTTCACATTAAAAAAATACAATGTTTAGAGTCCACTAGAATCAAGTATTACAATTTTATTATTAAAAGTTATTATTATTAAAAAGTATTAAAAGTACTCTTAGAAATGTGTAAACAACAGATTTAAACAGACATCTCCAGCATGATGAAAAAAATGAACAGAGGACTTCAGTTGTGAAACTCCAAATGAAATCCAAATTTCTATGAAATCCTTTTTTAGAGCAAAAGTAAAGTGCAACAGAGTGCAAGAAGTGTCCATCTCATAGTCCAAATCACTGAAATCAAAGTTCAGTATTATAGTGTAAGAATGACAACATGTCCACGTGTTCTGGTCTACTAACCAGATGAACGTTATAATAAACCCAAACTCACAACAACATGCACAGATGGAGTTTGAGCCGCTCCACACACATGTAAATGATAACAGTTCATGTGGAACAGCATTTACTGTGAACAGAACCGCTGTGAGACACACGTACGTAACCTACACGCCTATAACGGCATCACATATAATTAGTTAATTAAATCGTAGCGTTTGTGAATTCACAGTTATGCTTAATTATAATTTTTAAGCGGGTTTAATATATCATGAGGACTTGGATAACAGTCTAATAATATGTTTTATGGATTCTCGTCCATGAAATGCGCCACTTCCGGTATTTTGCCGGTTAGTCGATGCAGACAAAATGAAGTCGAGGATTTAAAAAAAAATCGAATAGAATCGACGATTCGCGGCAGCCCTACTTCAATCAGTGGCCAAGCCTAAAACGATTTTCTCTCACTGACTCCGACTACACTAAAATACAATCTTACAATGGGTACACTGATTGAATTACAAATTTTATTCATTTGCATTGCTGAAAGGTACCAAATTGTCACATGAAATATAATTTTATTATCCATTCTGCATGCTTATGGTGTTAGAGCACCTCCCTGATTATAAATGCCTACTGCTGAAAATGTAGATTGCCAGAGTGTTGGTCAGATTGTGATTTATAGTGCTTCTTTTGCTCTTTAAGAACTGTCAGTGTACTAATTGTCAGTGTACAATATTTGCACTGTGATTCCGTCCACCAATAGAATCAGTCGGTCATCATATATGCATACTGTAACAATATGCCCTCTTACTGCACATGTGTGTGAAGGAAAGACTTGGTGAGCGTTCAGAAGGAATATGAGGAAATGAAAGAACGACTGAGGCACAAAGAAGCAATGGCTGTGGTGGCGAGCAGTGGTCAGCGTGTGGGTGGTCTGTGTCTGAAGTGTGCCCAGCATGAAGCGATCCTGGCAGAGACACACTCCAATGTCCATGTACAGAGCATTGAAAGACTCACTAAGTAAGTGTGTGTTTTTAGTGTTTTAATTTTCACTGTAAGTATGAGTCCAAGACCTAAAATAATAATGTAATTCAGTTATTTAGATATAAATCAGTTAGATAAATTACATTAATTTCAAATAGAATACTTGGGCATTTTTCTTTCATTTGTTTTTCTTTCTTTTCTTTTTTTTTAATTTTATAGTTCAAAAGTTTGGGGTCGGTAAGATCTTAATGTTTTTGAAAGACTTCTCAGTGCATTTATTTGAACAAAAATATAGTAAAACTGTAATATACTGAAAATAATATTAGAATGTAAAATATCTGTTAAAATATTCCTGTGATGGTAAAGCTGAATTTTCAGCATCATTACTCCAGTCTTCGGCGTCACATGATCCTTCAGAAATCATTCTAATATGCTAAATTGGTGATCAAGAAACATTTCGTATTATTAATTTTGAAAACTGTTGTGCTGCTTAATATTTTGGTGGAAACTGTGATATGTTTTTTTTTTCAGGATTCTTTTATAAATAGAAAGTTCAAAAGATATAAATCTTTTGTAACATTATAAATGTCTTCACTGCCATTTTTGTATCAATATGATGCATCCTTTCTAAATACAATTTTTAATTAAAAAAAAGAAAGAAAATTAATGACCCCAAAGAGTTTGAACAGAATTATTTCTAAAAAATTGTAACAATTATTTATCAAAATATTTGTTAGTTTCAATCCAATATTTTTATAAGACTGATTTTTTTTTTAACTCTACTAAACTTAACTCTACTTTTTAAACTTATTTATACTAAGTAATTTCACATGAGAGATATTGATGTTGTAACTACCTTGGAGCCAAACCTCTGGGTTAATTAACACTGATAGGCTCCTTTGACCACCTTAATTGATCTCTGTGTGTATTCAGTCAATTATTGTTTCTCACAGCAAGGTTGAAAGGAGTTTTGACTGGTCATGAAGCTAATCAGCTGCTGTCCTGATTATGTGTCAGATCAATGCCTGCTTTCAGTAACCTGATGAGATGCTTGTGTTTGTGTCTTTGTTAGAGAGCGGGATGAGCTGATGACTGTGCTCTGCTCTCTGAGGGCCAATCAGACTGAGGCCCAGCAGAGAGAGTGGGCCGCCTATCAGCAGGTCAAACAGGCGGTGGAGATGGCAGAAGAGGCAAACCTGGAGAAGACAAGAGTATGTGACAACACCACTGATTTGAATATGACTTTTACTGTTTTGCATGATCTTAAATGCTTATGGTGTACTGTGTAGACAAGAGGTATACTCATTGATCTTGACCTCCGGTCTGTCCCTATGCACCTGCAGGCATTGGTGCAGTGTGAGCACTTCCACAGTGAGCTGACTAGACAGAGGGAAAGGCTGGAGAGAGAGCTGGCATCTGAACAGGAGAAGATCTCCCAGGCCAGAGAGGCAGCTCGTTTAGAGAGCAAGAAAGAGAAAGAAGAGCTCGCCCAGACTGTTAGTTCTTTATCATAATAGAAATGCTTTCTTAAATTAATGTATATTTTATTGAACTGAATATTATGACTGTCTTTGTTCAAAAGGATTGGATGGTTTGACAAAGCTAGCGTATGCTGCCCTCTAGTGTCATTTTAATTATGGCACAGTTTTGTGTGAAAATGACTTCAGATTCAGTGCAAAAACAACAACAAAATATTTGCCCAATCAGATTCTGCACTATTGTTAACTAAATATCAGAAATTGAATGAAAGATTCGATTTTAAACCAAACTAAAAAGAAGAAAACCTGAAGTGTTAAAAAATATGGTTTATTTCATGTCTGGTGGGGTCTAAAATTCAGAGACCACTAGAGTTCCTGTTATACATTCTTATGTTTTCGCATTTAACTTTTATTTGTTAATTTGGAAGATGCTTTCATCCAAAGTGACTTACAAATAATGACTACAATAAGCCTAGTTTCTTTTTTCTAAATAAATACATTATTATATTACAAATTATATTAACTGCATAACAAATTTGAAGTTTAATTGAAAATTAGATTTCCGAATGTAAAAAGGTCCGTGCACTTTTTGCTTTAATTATTTAATTTACTAATTTGATTAGTGACCTAGAAATAATATAAATATTTTGAAATATAATCTGAAATATTACTTATTCATGCTACAATGCAACACATAGTTGCCTATTGCATGGTCTATCCCATTGCGTTTAACACGTTTATGGGGAAACTCCTGTTTACTCTTATACTGAAGCCTGATTTGTTCATGTTCCTGTAACTGCACAAACAAATGGCGCTTCAACCCACCAAAAGGGGAGGAGCCGACTGCCGTATAAGTTGGCTCATAGCGCCATTCGTCAGAATTTTTCTCCTTCAGTGATGAAGATCATCTCCTCGCTGGACTCTGAAGAAAGAAGCCGAAGCAAGAAGCTCAGCCTGCTGCTTGCCGTAGAAGTGCCCCAGCAGAGGAAGATCGCCTAGCAAGCCTTCTCTTGCAGCCATCCGGTGACTATAAGAGCAAATTTGCAAGTGTGGCTCATGTGGGCACCCCTGCACGCTTCACACAGGCACAGTGAGTGCACCACTTCTGTGATCACACCGATCAGTGAGGCTGCACTCACTGAGACAAACTGCTCTCACTACGAGAGCATGAGTCTAACCCTGCTTCACTCACGGGTCGCCTTCTACAATGAAGGCAGCCCCGCCCCACCCCTCCCGCTCTCCCATTTCTCCCCTCCCAGCTGACTCGGAGGAAGAAACTGTGGAGTCACGGGGCTGAGCAACCGGGCTTGAGTACAGGTCCTGCATGCTTCACTCTCCCCGCAGCACTTTGGTCCGTGTTTTACACATAAGGATCAGCGCCCCTCGTCTGCAACGAGAGGTTTGATCTGGATCAGAGGATAATGCTGTCACTGATGATTCCATATCGCTGACAGCTTCAGATTCGGGTGCGTACTGATTCGCATCCTCACCAGGCTGTGGAGAATCTCGTCTTAGAATGGTCGGCTCCGGAAGAGCCTGGCCGCAGCCGTTTAGATGAAAGATGCCTGCTGGGCTGTCATCATCAAACCTCCCGCCTGAGACCAGCGCCGTTTTTCCAAGAAGTTCACGACGAAATTACCTAGGCATGGCACATGTTAAAGTCCCTACTCAGCACGCATCCACTCTTCTAAGTCTGCTGCCCTCACCTCTGTTGACGGTGCTGAAAAAAGAAAAGGATTTAGCAAGTAGGGGTGGGATAAAATATTGATATGGCAATTTTTGCTGAATTTTCAGCAGTTTGTACTTAAAAGAAGAGAGAGAACCTGTACTTAACCTTTTCACAGGCATTTTGTTTTCATAGTTAGACAGATATCATGATGTATCATTATAGGATTGTCTAGCAATATATTGATTATAGATATAGAATTGCTGTATCATCATATTATCAGTATCGTGAGCCATGTATCGTGTATCGTATCGTATTGTGAGGTATGTGATTCCCACCACAAATGGCAAATGGAAGAGGTGGTCGCTGCACACCTCTGCCGTCATCTGCCGGGCGGATTTGCAAGCTCTTCACTGCAGCACAGAAGTCATCGCAGGCATGTGCCACTTACTGCTTAAGTGCTCCAGCTTCATAGAACAAGGTTTCTTGCTCTATTTTGCTCGTAGGCTGCCTCACTTCAGAGGTATTATTCAAACTTCGGTGACAGGACAATGATGCTCATGTTCTCCGGCCCGAAGTACAAACTCTGTTTGCAAAAGGAGCTGTGAAAACGGTTCCTCTAGCGAACAGCAAGTCAGGCTTTTACAGCTGCTACATCCTTGTTCTAAAAAAAGATGGAGGGCTCAGGCCCATTTTCAGGCCCTGACAGTCGAAAGATTCTGACAAATGGCGTTCTGAGTCGAATTATATAGCAGTCGACTCCTCCCTTTTTGGAGGGTTGAAGCGCCATTTGTTTGTGCAGTTACACGAACGTGAACAAATCAGGCTTCAGTATCAGAGTAAACAGGAGTTCCCCCATAATCTTGTTAAATGCAACACTCGTTCCCTTATCTCAGGGAACCGAGGTTACGTTAGTATCCGCAACATTTTTTCTTTAACAATTTTCACATTCTTAACACTTTTGGTTTATTTCTAGGTATATTCAGGTTATTTCTTGGGCCTCACTATAAGAGTATAAATAGTCCTATACAGTGGTTCCAAAAAGTATTTGGACACTCAAGCCACACTTAAAAGTTATTACAATTATGTAATATTAATGAGTATCACTAATATAGTCCTTTTGGGAAGTCGTGGCCTAATGGTTAGAGAGTTGGACTCGTAACCCAAAAGGTTGCGGGTTCGAGTCTCGTACCGGCAGGGATTGTAGGTGGGGGGAGTGAATGTACAGCGCTCTCTCCCACCTTCAATACCATGACTGAGGTGCCCTTGAGCAAGGCACCGAACCCCCAACTGCTCCCCGGGCGCCGCAGCAAAAAATGGCTGCCCACTGCTCTGGGTGTGTGTTCACGGTGTGTGTGTGTTCACTGCTGTGTGTGCACTTTGGATGGGATAAATGCAGAGCACTAATTCTGAGTATGGGTCACCATACTTGGCCACATGTCACTTTACTATAGATAATATAATTGTAATATTCTCCACTGTAAGGTGACCAGTCTGTCTCAGAGAGTGGCTGAATTAGAGGGTCTGCTGGAGAGGGGAGAGAGAGACCGGAACTCTCTCAATGGCCAGCTGGAGGAAACTTATAAGAAGCTCACCGCACAGGAAACAGACAGCAGCAAGGTACAGCCCACTGAAAGTCTTCCCCACAATGGTCAAAGATCGCTGATTTTGACTGTCCTTTTCCTAATGTATATGATGAACCCAATATTAATCTATATGAATTTCAAATGATTTTGTGGTAGTCTCATATTTGATCCCCCAAGTTTTCAGAAATCAATAGAGCCAATGAAAGAAACCTCATTGTTCTCTTAATGTTATCAAGATGCTGTCTCTCAAACTAGTGTACTGGTAGTCACTTTAGTTAAAAATGACTGCTGAATGGTAAGTGAGTAATTCACCATACAAAGTGAATTAGCGTTTGCAATTTCACTTAATGTGTTTTTTAATCAAACAAGATATTCAGCAAGGGGGAAAAAACAGGCCTTTTTTTCTTTGGAATAACATGCACTGATAAATCTTTCATAATATCATTCACAATATGCATTAAGAAACCAAATGGGGCAATTTTACTTTCAGGTTCAACATTATTTAGATGCCAAATTTGATCTATCTTTATATATAAGTTAATTGGTTCAGTTATCTTTGTATGGAGAATGTTTAAGCACTAGATGGCAGTAGAACTATATTATTAGCAAAGCTGATAGAGTTGATGCATCAACAGCTCTAGTAGAAGTTTATGGAGCCGATGGAAAGGCGCTGCAAACATCACCTCAATGAATCAGTTTAGAGTATGTGAATTATCAGTGTTCTCCTGAACAGCAGACAGAAGTATTGAAACCTACCTTGGACTTTGCTTTAAGCTGCATGTATGCTTGTGTCAGGTATATGCGGAGCTGCGCTTTCTGTTGAGCCAGGCACAGCTGAAGAAAGAGGAGTCAGAGAGAGAGGTGAGAGACATCAGCTCCAAACTGGGACGTCAGCTAGAACTAGCTGAGCAGGTAAGAGAAACTTGATCGGTCATACAGAGAAGAATCTGCAGTTTTTTTTTTTAAATCAACAGTCATTTATTAACCAGTTTTGTAATTTACAATGTTACTGGTACAAATTGGTATTTAAAAAAAATATAAATAAAAAATAAATAAAAAGGCAATTTTTTTAAAGTTTCAGCAAACAAAAAGGACATGTTTTAATACAAAAACGAATAATTGCTTAGTCTCTCTCTCTCTCCTCTCATGGGGTTCAGGAAGTACAGAAGTTGGGTGTGGAGCTGAATGGTTGCCGGCAGCGTTTGGAGGAGGCCCAGAGGGCAGAGGGCCGAGCCTGGGCAGAGGCAGCCGGCCTGGCTGAGGGGCTAAGCCGCACCCAGCGCCAACTGCACCTCACCAGGTAACCCCCTTAATCCTATTACATGCCACAACACTGCGCCCGTCCACTGGCCCCAGTGCAGTGCCAGCACACCGGCAGGAGGGCACCCGCACTTTATTAAATCGCCTCAAGCCACCGGCTGCCACCGCCACAGTCCACCACGCACCAGGAGAACAGGGCCGGAGAGAGGGGCACATACTGTCTCTCTCAATAACATCACTCAGTTTAGCAGGAGTAAAGTTGAAATGAGTTAATACTTCTGGCAGGTTTTCGACTAAGAACTTTATTATTAATCTGATTCATGTTGTGTAAATCAGTATGGAGTGAGTAGTGCATATGTGGCTTCTCATACATTTATACATTTTCCACATATGTGCACATTTCACTCGTATTCGTAGCCATGATAATGAGCTGGCGTTAAACATAAATATAAATATATTTTGGTTATTAAATTAAATTCACACCATTTAATTAAATCAAAAGCAGACCCTCTACATTGAGCTATCACTGTTTTTATTTTATTTTATCTGAAGATATTACAGCAAAGATGTTGTCTTATGAATCAGTGGCACCTTTTGTGTTGAATGCTTGCCTTTATGTGATCAAGCTTTGGACTTCTGATTTTGAATTTTATATGCGTCTTGCAAAAATCTCCTCAAACTCTGATGAAAATCGAACCAGAATAGGTGATAAGAGAATAAACAGTGTTTTTCAGTAACATTTGTTCAACCAATCCCATTTTATTAGAAAGCAAATAGATTATAGCTCCAGATTAGGAAGAATATATCAGATTGAACAATTCCCACCCTTATTATCATTTATGAGAGAGAATGTTTTTGACACAGTAAGACACTTACATGGCCGTTAAGTGCAATTTAACAGTTTACAGTTCATTACTATAAATTAGAGTTACTGCCAGCAAAACACAAAGGGAACATTCTGTTATTTTTTTTAGTGCTACTAAATATATAGTGGCCCCAAATAGTATTTGGACACTTAAGTCGCTTAAACATTTGTGAATGTGATTGCATTAGATCTAAAATATCAAACCAGGTGTAGTCTGCAAATGACGCTGGATGCTTTTGTCAGAACTACATTTTTTGCAGCTACTTTTAATCAACTGGTGTTGATAAGATGATTTTTGGTGGATTTATAAAATCTGTTCCCCTCAAGTTCACACAGGTGTCTAATCAGCGTAATCACAGTTGTAGGGGAGAGCGGGGCACAAAGTAACACTTTTTCAATTTGTGTAAATCCACATGGGGTTCAGAATATAATTTTTTTTATCCACAGTAATTTTACACTTGTCTAGTACAAATATGTCACTTTGTTTCATAATTACAGTGTATACGTTTTTCTTTATTTAGCCTCAAAAAATTGAAGTGAAATGTGACAACATGCCCCGTAGGTGGGGGGTACATTGTAACATCTGAGGGGCACGTTGTAACATGACCATATGACAGCTTAAAATGTTATCTGATCGAATGAAAAAAAATATACAAGACAAACTAAAATATTTTGTTGTTAAAATAATTTTTTATTTTTTTTTTCCAAATAAAATAATGGTGTTTTTTAAGAATTAAAAATCATCTGATTTTGGAGTTTGACAATGAACACATTGCAGCCATGCTTGGGACGGCCCACGTAAACGAGCATAATAAAATTCATTAAAGTAAATATTGAAAATTACATCGCTAATGTCATAGAATAGCACATTGTAACACAGTGTTACAACGTGCCCCATCTGCGCAACTGGAGTAAAACTGGTTAGTGTCTTCTGCTAGTTATCAAAGCATTAAAAAACTATCTGAACTGATAAATAACAGATTGGAGATTAAAATAATAGCAGATTTGTCTAATTTTAAATGAATAATAAAAACTGAGATGAAAAATTTACTTAAGCCAGAATTTAAATTGTACTATGGTAAAGTAAATGTTCAGCGATATCTTCAAAAGATTTTTGAATTTTGGCGCACATTTTTTTCTATATAATGTTGAAATGGTAACTAATAAGTACTGTAAATTTTGTTATGCTAGCATGTGTGGAAATATTCAAACCACGTGTGTTACAACTAACCCCCCGTTACTTTGTGCCCCGCGCTCCCCTAGTTCATCACATTAACTATGAATAGTGACAGTTTTAAAGCTTCAAAGGATGCAAATACTTTTTTTCTGATCAGTATATCTAAAGCCTTCTTATTGTGAAGTGTTTAGCATAAAAAGTGTGTTTGTGCTCTCTAAATGCCATAAAGTTTGAAATATAATTTACAGGAATTTAAAATTGTCACTTAAGTGTCCAAATACTTTATGGGGCCACTGCATTCAGTAATTTTATGCTATCATTTACTTGTTTGTAGTATTTGAATTAAGTTAAACCATAAGAGGAATTGGAGTAACTGTGCTGTAACTTCCGCTGACCTGAGGAAGGGTCTGAAGTAACCAGATCATATTACTTTAGTTGTCACCTATTTTAAGTAAAACTATGCTGAATATAACTGTTCATATAACCATGCATTTCATCAAGAGATTGGATAGCACTCTAACCAAATAAAGTGAAGTGAAAAAGTGAAAAGTGAAGCGACGTGTGGCCAAATATGGTGACCCATACTAGGAATTAGTGCTCTGCATTTAACCCATCCAAAGTGCACACACACACAGCAGTGAACACACACACACTGTGAACACACACCCGGAGCAGTGGGCAGCCATTTATGCTGCGGCGCCCACAGATGGTTTTTGTGGAGCATAAATTATTTGCAACAGCAAGTCTAGTATTACAAATAATCGTAATACTGATATATACACTACAATTCAAAATTTGATGTCAGTATTTTTTTTTTAATTGAAACTTTTATTCAGCAAGGATGCATTAAATTAATCAAAAGTGAAACTAAAGACATTTATGTTACAATTGATTTCTATTTCAAATAAATGCTATTCTTTTGAACTTTCTGTTCATCAAAAAATCCTGAAAAAATGTATCTCACTTTCCACAAAAATATTAAGCAACAAACTGTTTTCAACATTGATGGTAATATGAAATGTTACTTGAGCACCAAATCCGCATGTTAGAAGGATTTCTGAAGGATCATGTGATATTGAAGACTGGAGTAATGGCTGCTGAAAATCCAGCTTTACCATCACAGGAATAAATAACATTTTAGTAATGTAATAATATTTCAAAATATTACTATACTACAAATAAAACAGTTTTACTGTATTTATGATCAAATGAATGTGAAACTTCTTTCAATCTTGCCGACCCCCAACATTTGTGCTGTAGTGTATATTTTCATCCACTTAAATTGACAATGCTGACACATGCACAATAGTTTTATTTATGGGTTTATAGACACAAATAAAGTAAAAAGAAGTTTTAATCGAATTCTTGCTATATAACCCCTGGAACGTGGAGTATATGTGCCCCTAGTTAGGAATCACTCCTCTAGATTTCCTGTTTGGGCTTTATGGCATTTCTATGCCCACTGAATGATTGCCCACAATGAAGCCATCCATTTCCATGTCTCCGTGGATGTGTTCTACCCCAGTGTTAGTGTAGGTAGTGCTGAAGCCTCAGGGGGTTTGAATGGCACTGGGGTCTCCATTCCTCTGGAGGAAGTGGAGATTTTACAGCATCTGCCACAGAGCTGCACAGCTGCAGAGGAGGGACAGCATCTGTTCGCAAGGGAATTCAGTACTTAAGTATTAAGACTTGGTCATGTATTGTTTATAAATTACCATAAAGATGCATGCTGTTGCAGAAATATTAGTGAATAATTTGAGTCATTTGTTTACATTTGGAAAAGTACCACTGTGCATGAAAACGGTCCAGATGGTTTTTGTGGAGTATAAATTATTTGCAACAGCAAGTCTAGACAAACTCTTGTATTTGACGTTATTACGCAGCATAAGAATGTAGTCCTGCATTGTTAGATCAGTACACCTGCTTTTTTAAATGTACATTTACTATCCTGTATACATTGCATTAGTATGGTCTACACCTCTATTTAAGTTAGTGACGTGATGCAAATTTTGACGTGATTCCAAAGTCTGGATCTATTAATTAATTCAGAAAAACAGAACCAAAAATATGCAGTTCATCCAGATTAAAACCTAAATATACCTCTGCTACCACTAAAGTTTTCAGATTCTGAATGAAATTTATTTTTTATATGTGGGACATAGCATCAGAAAAGTCAAGGTGAAGCAGTCCTGTGATCATAATGATGACAGTAGACTGAAATACTGACAAAGTAGATTGGCATAATATTGTATTATTGTTGTTTCCATAAAATAATAATTAGTTGCAGTTAGTATTCAATTATAATTATTAAATTAATAGCATGTTAATTTATATTTAATATAACTATTAAATTAATTGCATTATTTTGACATATAAATGCAGTATTTGGAAAAACTTTTACTAAATTTTGTTCACTAAATCAGTCAGTGTGGTGTAACCTTAAATAGATCCCTTTGTGTGTAACCACCAAACAGAAAATTATTTTTCTGTCATCTGATAAGAAATTCACAAGTCAGTAAGCCTTGCAAAATATCACATATAACCTTTTTATGACATGGCTTCAAGAAAACTTGAATATATTTCAAGAAAGCATGATGTAATCAATGTGTATAAATACATTTGAACTTATTTAACTTATATGGTAACTTAAATACATGTGTACAACTTTTATACAACTACAACGTTTGAAAATAATAACATGAAACACATTTCTAAGTGCTTAGCACATGTATTGTGAATTTTATATATATATATATATATATATATATATATAATTATTATTATTTTTTTTTTATCATTTAATCATTTTGTACTTGTTATTAACTATATCCTGGAGGCTGTCAGAGATGAGCAGATGAGTTTCCATTTTCTTGTAATGGCCATGTGATGCTTATCTATTTATAGATTTTATTTCTGGTGTGATCAGAGGTTTAATTGTCTTTTGACAACTTTTTGCTGTTAAATTATTGAAGAAAATTTTGTGTAAGTATATTACAGC